GAATGGAAAAGAAAAAAAAGCTGGGGTAGCAATACTTATATCTGACAAATTAGACGTCAAAGCGAAGGCCATAACAAGTGATAAGGAAGGCCACTTCATAATAGTAAAGGGAGAAATTCAACAAGAAGATATAACTCTGGTAAACATATATGTTCCTGCACCCAATATAGGAAAACTCAAATATATATATACTTCTGGAGGATATCAAGGGACAGATCCACTACAATACAGTCATAGTAGGGGACTTTAACACCCAAATAACACCACTGGATACAACCTCTAAACAAAAAATCAGTAAAGAAATGTCAATTGTAAATGACTCACTAGATCAGATGGAATTAATGGACATCTTCAGAACATTTCACCTCAAAGCCACAGAATATATATTCTTCTCAAGCGCACAGGGGTCATTTTCAAAGATAGACCACATATTCGGACACAAGCAAAGTCTCTTCAAATTCAAGAAGACATAAATCCTATCAAGCATCTTCTCAGATCACAATGGCATAAAATTAGAAATCAACTACAATAAAAACAATGAAAAAATCTAACACCTGGAAGCTAAATAGCATGCTATTAAACAATGATTGGGTTACCAAAGAGATCAAAGAAGAAATAAAAAGCATCATGGCAATGATTGACAATGAAAACACAACAATCCAAACTCTATGGGACACAGTGAAAGTAGTCTTGAGAGGGAAGTTCATAGCTCTACAGGCTTACCTCTAAAAACAAGAAAAAATGGTAATAAATTTATCTAATCCTACAACTCAAAGAGTTAGAAAGAGAGCAACAAGAAAAGCCAAGAGTAAGCAAAAGCAATGAATGATAAAGATCAGAGTGGAAATAAATGACAAAAGAAACCCAAAACAACAATACAAAAGATCAACAAAACCAAGAGCTGGTTCTTTGAAAGGATAAACAAGATTGATGAGCCTCTAGTCAGGATCACTAAGAAGCAAAGTGAGAGGACCCAAATAAAATCAGAAATGAAAGAGTTGAAGTAACAACTGATACCACAGAAATACAAAGGATTATAAAAAAAAAAATACTATGAACAGTTCCATTCCAACAAAATAGACAATCTAGATGAAATGGACTTATTCTTAGAAAAAACAAGCTCCCAAAACTCAATCAGGAAGATAATAAAACCTGAATAGGCTGATAAGGACCAAAGAAATTGAAGCAGCGATCAAAAATCTTCCAGTAATCAAAAGCCCTGGTCCGACAACTTTACATGGGAGTTCTACCAAGCATTCAAAGAAGAACTAAAACCTATCCTCCTCAGACTATTCCAAAATATTTAAGAGGAAGGCACACTTCCAAGCTCTTTCTACAAAGCCAGCGTTACCCTAATTCCAAAACCAAATAAAGACACCACGAAAAAAGAGAATTATAGGCCAATATCCTACTAGATCTAATAAATGAATTTGGCAATGTAGCAGGATACAAAATTAACACCCGGAAATCTATGGCATTCTTATACACCAATAATAAACTCACAGAAAGAGAAACAAAAAACAAACAAACAAACAAAAAAACCAATCCCATTTACCACTGCACCAAAAAAATTAAGATACTTAGGAATAAACTTAACTAAGGAGGTAAAAGGCTTGTTCTTGAAAAATTATAGGACATTGAAAAAAGAGATAGAGGAAGACATAAACAAATGAAAGAACATACCATGTTCATAGATTGGTAGAATCAACATCATTAAAATGTCCATACTACCCATAGCAATCTACAGATTCAATGCAATCCCCATTAAAATACCAATGGCATACTTCAAAGATCTAGAACAAACATTTCAAAAATGTATCTGGAATACAAAAAGACGCTGAATAGCCACAGTAATCCTGCAAAAGAAGAACAAAATTGGAGGGATCACAATACCAGATATTAAGCTATCTTACCAAGCCATAGTTCTCAAAACTGCCTGGTACTGGCACAAGAATGGACATATAGATCAATAGAACAGAACAGAGAACCCAGAAGTCGACCCAAGACATTATGCTCAATTAATATTTGACAAAGGAAGCAAGAGCATACAATGGAGTCAAGACAGTCTCTTCAATAAATGGTGCTGGAAAATTTGGTTAGATACATGTACAGAAATGCAACTAGATCACCAACTTACACCATACACAAAAACAAACTCAAAATGGCTAAAGGACTTTAATGAAGATGGGAAACCATAAAAATCCTACAGGACTCTATAGACAACAAAATAGCAGACATATATCACAGCAATATCTTTATAGACACAGCTCCTAGGCCAATGGAGACTAAGAAGAAAATAAGCAAATGGGACTACATCAAAATAAAAAGCTTCTGCACAGCAAAAGAAACCATCAACAAAACAACAAGAAAGCCCACTGCATGGGAGAACATATTTGCCAATGTTATCTCCGATAAAGGCCCAATCTCCAACATTTACAGGGAACTCATACAACTTAACAAAAGGAAGATAAACAATCCAATCAAAAAATGGGCAAAGGACCTAAGATAAATGTATTAAAAAACTATGGTACATCTACACAATGGAATACTATTCCTCTATAAAATGGAAGGAACTTTTACCATTTGCAACAGCATGGAAGGAACTGGAAAGCATTATGCTAAGCAAATTACCATTATTCTCATGGGCTCCACAAAAAAATACATTAATAATGAGCCCTAAGCCCAATGCAAGATAAATATCACATGATCTCACTCGTACGTGGGTTATAATGAACATAATTTGATGAACAAGAATAGATCCAGAGACAAATAGCAGGGGAGGTGTGTGTGGGGGGGTGGGGGTAGAGAGCAACCAAAGGACTTGTATGTATGCATATTAGCATAACCAGTGGAAACAAGCACTGGGGCAGTGGTGGCTTGCCAGGGGTGGGAATGGCTGGGAGGTGGGGGTCAAGTGAGGAAAAAGGAGACATGTGTAAAACTTTAGACAATAAATAAATAAAATAAAATTTAAAAAAGAAAGAATAAAACCCAGCTCATGTGGCTCAATGTTTGAGCATCAACCTATGAATCAGGGGGTCAGGGTTCGATTCCCAGGTAGGGCACATGCCTGGCTGGGATGTGCAAGAGGCGGATGATCAATGATTCTCTCTCATCATTGATGTTTCTCTCTCTCTCTTTCTCTCCCTCTCCCTTCCTGTCTGAAATCAATAATAGTTTTTTTTTAAGAGAAAGTATACAAGCAGTAGAATCCTATAAATTGAATCTTATCCTGATGGCCTAAAGACATCAAGCTATTTTTTCGGTGGTTCAGTTTCTCATTCTCAGTTTAGGAATCACCTTAAGACAATGAGAAGCTTCTGGTGCCCCCATCAGGCAAGTATAATTTTAGATTTTTCTTTAGAGACATAGAAAATAGACATGCAAACTGAAGAGACAATCTGAAAATGAATACATAACATTAAAGGTATACTTAGGCCTTAACTGCCATGTATCTCTGCTCCTATAATGTCAGAGAAGATTAGAAAAGTTTGGGGAAGAGCTAGTCTAGCCCATGGTTGGCAAACTGCGGCTCATGAGCCACATGAGGCTCTTTAGCCCCTTGAAGGTGGCTCTTTCTAAGCCTTAGGAGTACCCTAATTAAGTTAATAACAACGTACCTACCTATATAGTTTAAGTTTAAAAAATTTGGCTCTCAAAAGAAATTTCAATCGTTGTACTGCTGATATTTGGCTCTGTTGACTAATGAGTTTGCCGACCACTGCTCTAGACCATTAGAAGGTTGATTAGGAAAAGGAAATAGATACTGAAGCATTAGAATGTACTGTACAGTAGAAACCAAGGTCACTAAGAAAGTGATTGATGACCCCTTCCCAGGTAATTGCTAATGTCCATGTGGGAATATTAATGATTAACAATTGTCAAAAGTGGAAAGGAGCTCAAAGAGCATTTAGGCTGACTTTCTTATGCAAATATCAGACCTGTATTGACTTGGTTATGGTCATCAGCTAAGTAGTGGCAGAGCTGGGATGGTAATCTAGGTTTCTGAATTCTCATCCAGTACTCTTTCCACGAATAACTTTTCTAACCTTTCCTACAAAGTACTAGGATATAATGTACGCATGACTATTTGAGGTCCCTTGAAGCCCATGCACCAGTTTAGCGTCCACTCCAATAAAATTAAACAGTCATGTGAAAGCCTCAGAAAGGCCTTCAGCGTTTCTAGGGACTCCCAAGGCCCCAGTGATCAAAATGTGTTTCTGTGGTAGAAATTAGGTCCTTCTTCACTTAATCATTACATGGTTTAAATTTATCCAACACAGTCCTAGTTCTCTATTAGAGAACAGTTAACACCTCTGAGTGACAAGGGGCATCAGAAGACGGTCTGGGGTTACCTACTGTTAGGTTATTCTAAATTGTTCCATTGTTATAGGCCCTGAATAGTGTCCTCCCAAAATTCATATGAGGAAGACCTAACTCCCAGGACCTCATAATATGACTGTATTTGGAGATAACTTTTGAAAAGGATAATTAAGGTCAAATGAGGTCATATAGGTAGACCCTAATCCAATATGACTAATGTTTTTAGAAGAGATTAGGACACAGAAGACACGATGGGTGGGGGGATGGAGGGTTAGGCCGAGGGGAACATGTGAAGACATGGAGAGAATACAGTCATCTACAAATCAAGAAGAGATGAATGAAACCAACCCTGTCAACATCTTGATCTTGGAATTCTAGCTTCCAGAACTGTGAGAAAACTAAATTTTTATTGTTTAAACCACTCAGTCCATGGTGTTTTGTTATGGAAGCCCTAGAAAACCAATGCACTCATTAAATAGTAGGAAACAATGAAAAAAGTAATTCCATAGCACAGATCGGAGTTTAAAAGACAAAGTAAAGCCTGGAAGCCAAAAGGAACTTTGGGGAAAAAAGTAGCTAAAGAACAAAGCTTTAAAATGATTATTCTTTAGAAAGGCCTTAGTTTAATCTTTCCTCCTCAGAGCAAAAACATTAATTGGTAGTAAAAGAATATAGGTATATTGTGGAGTAACATGCAAAATTTACATGAACTTCCAAGAAAAAAGTGAATCTGAAAGAAATTTTGCATACTGATAGAGTGCTTTGCATTATATTCTTAGATCCCCAAGGATGTGGTGCCCATTTGCTTCTTAGGGGAATTTTGGTAGAAAAATTGAAAAGCACTGTTCTAAATATATCTGATGCCTCCCAGATAGTCTTCCTTCTATAAAAGGCATCTCCATGTTTTATTCCATGCCAAGCACTTTGAAAGATGACAATAGCAGATACAAATGGGTTCTACTCCCTGCCCTGCTTATTGTCTAGAGCAGTGGTTCTTCACCTTCCTAATTCCACAACCCTTTAATGCAGTTCCTCATGTTGTGGTGACCCCCAACCATAAAATTATTATTGTTGCTACTTAATAACTGCAATTTTGCTACTGTTATGAATCATAATGTAAATATCTGATATGCAGGATGTATTCTCATTGTTACAAATCGAACATAATGAAAGCATAGTGATTAATCACAAAAACAATATGTAATTACAAATGTGTTTTCTGATGGTCTTAGGCGAACCCAGTGAAAGGGTCTTTCGATTCCGAAAGGGGTCGTGACCCACAGGTGGAGAACCGCTGGTCTAGAGGAATTGATGCTTCCAGGTGGGACAGAAGTGTAGGCAGCTTCCAATGTCAGGGAAAGGGGAAAATAAACAAGGCTCTCCCTTTAGACAACCTTGCTATATGTCAGGGTTTGAAAGAGAACCACCTCCGAAGAATGTTCTCAGGAGCACAACCATTTTCTCCTCACACATCTTTGAGCCGAACTTAGCTGAGCCTCTCGGGTGAAGTGTTAATTTAGATGCTTCCTTCCCCTCTCCAGATTCATGGCACATGCATCATCTGGATAAAGGCCTGGGGACTAAATGCAAGAAACCATGTCACCATCAGAAGTCAGACTACCTTAGCATGCAGGTATAGTTGCCCGTGTCATTGAGGAGGGTGGGCCGGAACCAGAGCACATCTTTCTCCTTACTAATGCGGTTCTCCGGGAGGCGGAAGTTAATTGGTTCCTCAAGGTCCCGGTCCTGCCTAGTCCAATACCAGATCAGAGTAAGGCCAGCTGAATGGGCTGTGCTGTAGTTAAATTTCAAGAAGTGCTCAAAGAGTGGGCACTTGATTCGAGCTGGCTCATCTTCAAACACTTGGATCTGCCTCATGGTATCTAGTCCCCAGTCATCGCAGCGTTCTGGAACAATCAAAAAGAAAAGGCAGATGAGTCACCTCACACTTTCTCTCCAGATACCCAATCTTTCCCAGGAACTTCCTTCTCTAGTCATCTTCAATCACCTCTCTTTAATGACTGCATATAACAGGCACCTGTGAATTGAAGAAATGACTTTCCCCTTATTCCTTTACCATTTTATGACTATCTCTTGGCTAATAATTGGATTTAATAGTTTGATCCCACTAAACTCTGAAATATATGGGGGAGAATCTCACCTGAAAAATAAGTCATGTAGGAATCTCATGGGGCAGGGATCTCAGCTGTTACATCACACTCCCTTCTCTTTTGGAAATTGAGACATACCATTGTATACAAGAAGGGTCATTTATGCTTTAATTGAGGGTTTAATACATGTCTACCATGTCCCCCTTAGCTTAGTAAAGCCTGAAAGTACAATAGTGAGCGAGAGCAGACATGGTTCCTGACCTTGCTGAACTTACAGTCTAGTGAGTAAGTACTTAGGTAAGTACTACTTTACAACTGTGATAAGTGCTAAGAAGTGCATGGTGTATGAGAGCATACATATTTGTAATAATTGGAAATTTGTGCTAGTGTTGCTCAGCCATGAAATAAATAAAATGTTACACAAATGGTAAAACGGGCTCCTGACTTCAGGGCTAGATCTGAGTTCTCCATTGGCAATAAAACCTGAGCCACATTTGTAATTTCAGATATCCTAGTTGCCACAGTAAAACGTTTTAAAAAGCAGGTAAAATTATTTTTGCGTATTTTGTTAAACTTGATATATCCCAAACACTCTCAATACAATAATGAGCTGTTTTATATTTGCATTCTTTTTTTGGTACAAGTCTTCAGAATCCGATGTGCTTAACACCTACAGCGCATCATTTTTAGATAGTCGTGTGTGTCTACTGGTCACCAGGTTAGAGAGCAGACCTTAAGAAGTCAAGAGGTTTCAGTGACACTCATAAGGGAACAAAGGAGCTATAATTTCAACAACTCAGAGTCAAATGCATCATAATGACTTCTATAATTTATTTTTATAATGAAAAGTAATCACTTGTACATACTAGAAAATGATAATAAATTACCTTTTTATGATATATGGGTGGAGAGTTCTAGATCTCATCATATGGAGACAAGAATAGAGAAACCAGGGGTGATAGAGTATTAAAAGGCCCAAAGCAATCACCTTAAAACAGTTTTCTTTTTTCCTCACAACCCTTACATACTTACATACATTCACATGCATATGCATATGTGTGTATGCATTTTTACCTATGTAATATTCCCGACATTTCAGCTGACATTAAAACTTTTCATCCTAAGTATAAACATTAAAAATATACCCTAATGTTATATTTTAAGTAATGATCTTTTAAAATAGTTATACCACTTTTTAAATTACAGTCAATTAAATAGTGATTTGCCATACACCAATATCCACCTAAAATATGTAAACAAGCTTTATTTTAACCATTTGTAATTCTATTCTGTTCCTTTTTCTCCTTGACCTTGTATTAATTCCACTATCTTCATACATAATCTTATTTTAATAAAATAGATTTCTGGGTTTTGTTTTTACTTTTTATTACTTTACTTTTCTGTGCAATATATAATGCTCTTTGTTGAAAAGTTGAATTTTATTATGATTATAATATATACAACTTAAATAATACATAGTATTTTCAACTTTATAAGTATTTAGTAAATATAAAATTATATTGGAAATCATCTCTTGATAATAATCAGGATGGGCTACTTTTGAATGAAAGGGGTTAGGCATTACTTGAAAATGTTTTATGTATATGTAAGCATTGAGAAAATCTGTCTATAGCCAAGAACAAAAGAAGTTTACTTCTAGCAAGGTTATTCAGTCTTTAAACTCCTTTAGAGTTTTATGCCCCATTTATACTTTTATCATAACAAATTATTTTTAATGACCTATCACTTAACATCTCTGGAAGATAAAGTTTGAATAAACAGACCTAATTCACATTCCTTCCTATATCCACATCCTCTGCTCTCCCCCCCCCCCCCCCAACCCCTCTCTGCCATGTGAGGACAAAGTGAGAAGGAAGCCCTTTGCAAACTGGGGGGAAAGTTCTCACCAGACACCTAATCTTATCAGTGCCTTGATCTTGGAATTCTCAGCCTCCTGAACTGTAATACCTGTGTGTTGTTTAAACCAACAATCTGTGGTATTCTTTTACAGCAGCCAGAACTGACTAAGATACCCAGGAAAACCTGAATGAGAGACCACCAGCAATAGGAGACCACCAGCACGCTGTCTGGCCTTTCACAGCTGACCAGTGATGCAAGAGCAAGCCACGCTTCTGTTAGCAGAACTGCCCAGCAGCCTACAGATCCTGAGAAAAATACATGTGTAACAAACAAAATGAAGTTTGTCACTAAAGTTTATGGTTGTTAGGCAATATTTTGGGGAGGGCAGATAATGGATAGAACAACTAAATTAGTGGCTACTTTAAGTTTGATAAAAGCAAAGGATTTGAAGCTTTATGACTTGCAAAGGGATCTGTGAGTAAGTAATAAATCTCTAAGTAAATATAATATCTGGAAAGTTTAACAAACTGACTTCTCTAAAACTCAACAAATTGCTTCTACTTATAATTGCTTTCATTTAGAAACACCTTTTGAAAGCCAATCTACAGAGAAAGAATTGTGAGATCAAAATGTTGTTCACATCAATACAAACTTGATACTAAAGTATTTTATAAAACATCTACCTTATCGCATTCTTTAAATTATTTTCAGTAAAACTGCAAAATTGCAGAATTAGCTCATTCAATTTATAGAAAAATATAACCATAGTTTTTTTTTAGATCACTATGTCAGACTATATACATGCATCCAATTTCATTCCCTTCTGAAACTCCACAAAAACTAAAATTACTTTTCAAGACATAACCCCAAGTAACAGCAAGGATGGGAGAAAAGGTAACAGCAACATCAAAATGAACAAGTGGTAACAAGCTTAGCCTATTTAGAATGAAAAACCCTGCCAGCAGGGAAAAACCCGAGAACAAACCAATCAGCAACGCAGAATACAGAAAAGACCCAGGAGGAGCTATCAGTAGCAACATAAAAAACCGTCAGTGCTGTTCACCAGTATTCCTGGGTTCGCTTCTACACATGGTGTAAGATTACTAGTATACTTGCATTCCCTCTAAAGTAAGGATCAGCCACTTGAAGGGCCCTGCTCCCTTTCCTTCTGGGTTGTCAAATACGAAAGTACGGAGAATGAGACTCTCTTAGCTTAGATCCCTTGATATGGATTATATATAGCAGAGCTTTGTTATGCTAAGTCATAGAAAATAGAGATTTGTTTTTTACCAATATGAATAATCTATTCTATCCTGGCAAATGCAATCAGTTACCTCAAAACTGAGGACACAGCAGAGGGTGGTGAAATGAGGACAATCAGATAAAAGCTATGCCAAACGTGACAGCCTTTGTTCTAACCCCACTCCCCTAGCACTCAGTAACCTTTCCCACTCAGCTCCAAGGATGAAGTGGCGATACCTGTACCCACCAGGCAAAAGAATGAATGAATCTTCTAAGGAAAATGTGGCTAGCTTCAGAAAAAAATGTAGCACTCTTAATATCAGTGGTTCATTAACAGATTGCACCACCACACCATCCAACAGAAAAGCTCAAGGTTAACAAGCCTCACATTCATATTTAAATTTTTTTTAATTTAATTTTTCAATTACATTTATATTCAATATTATTTGTATTAGTTTTGTGTACAGCACACAGTTGTTAGATGATTGTGTAATTTACAGAATGGTCCCCTAGCTATTTCAAGTACCCACCTGGCACCATACATAGTTATGACAATATTAATGTCTATATTCCCTAGGCTGTACTTTACATCCCCATGACTATTTTGTAACTATCAATGTGTAGTTCTTAATTCCTTAGCCTTTTTCAGCCTCCTCTCCATCCCCTTCACATCTGGCAACCATCATTTTGTTCTCTTTATCTACGAGTGCGTTTCTATTTTTTTGTTCATTTATTTTGTTCTTTAGATTCCATATATAAGTGAAATTATATGACATTTGTTTTTTTTTTTTTTTTTTTTTGGTTTGGCTTATTCACTTAGCTTAATACTCTCTAGGTTCTCCATGCTGTTACAAATGGTAAGATTTCATACTTTATTAGTAATATTCCATTTTATAAATCACTACTTATTTTTTTCTCTATTTGTCTACTGATGGGCTCTTGAGTTGCTTCCATATCTTGGATATCATAAATAAAGTTGCAGTGAACAAAGGGATGCATATATTCTTTTGAATTAGTGTTTT